GTCCTAAAAATATGACCTGGAAACAGCTGCTCTAGAAAGTGCTCTGTGAAGCAAGAGGAACCGCGGCCGGCATGTTTGGCCAGCGCAGCAACCTGGCGGAGGCCACACGCGGCAAGGCCAGGCTGGGTAGAGGCTCTGGAGGTCCAGCCGGCCTCCCTGCAGGTCTTCCTGAGGCTCAGGCCTGGCACAGCTGGTGCAGATGTAACTGCCCTCCTGGAGCTTCCCGGAGGGGAAGCGGGTCAGCCTGGAAAGCCCCTGGCGCCTACAGGAAAACAGTAAAGGAGGGCTAAGGAAAAAGGGAAGCGCTACCTGGAGCTGGGGCTTACCAACTCCTCACGTGTAGCTGCAATGGGAAGGGAGAAGAAATAGAGAAGTCGCTTCACCTCGAACTTGGGACTGGGCCCTGCTGAGAGACGGGCAGGGAAGCCTGGAGAGAAGGGAGCCGAGGGGCGGCAGTGAAGGGGCGCTCACTCCTCAGCAAGGGCATGCGCTCCGGGCAGGCCGAGCACTGGGCACCTGCTAACAAGCTCTCCTCCAAAGGTGGCTGGGCAGAGGCACAGCTGGGCTCTGCGCACGCAGCCTGGGGTGCTGCATGAAGGAGAGCCAGGCAGAATGGGGAGGGGAGGACCCCAACCTGCCTGAGCTGCCGCAGCAGGTGTGGTCTGGTTTCGGGGCAGAGAGAGGACCTGCTGGATGACCCAGAACAGAATCCAGGGTGAGGTGAGGACAGGAGGAAGGCAGAGGAAAAGCAGCTGCCCTGGCGGAGGCCCTGGCAGGGGAGGAAACGAGAGGGGCAGGGGCAGGGCAGGGGCAGAGGCTGTCTGGTGCAGGTGCAGAGTTAGGATACACGGGGTGGGGGAGGGGCAGGGGAGCAGGGCTCCTGCTGCTACAGGAACAATTGCTGCAGCCACACCTCCCACAGACAGCTGCGGCGGCCCTGACACTCCTTCATGCCTTATATAAGGCTTAGACTGTGATTTAGGAGATGAGTCTTTTTCTGGAATATTAGGTTATAAGTGGAAAAAGACAGCCTTTTACAAGTTTAGATGATGGTGCTTCCTAAAAGGCTCACGACCCCGAGTTGCCCTGAGACCCCCTCCCAGCTCAAAGACCCCACGCCCTGACTGCATTGGCTTCTCATTGTTTTAGCAAGAATCCAGTGAGACACAGCATAGTTAGGCCTTTGTAAAACAGCACTTGAGTGTTGCAATTTTTCTTCATAATAATGAGCTGCTAGGTACAGAGTTTCTCTTTATTTTTTTAACAAGAAATTACATGCACGCCAAACATAACATGAAGGTTTTGTGGTAAAACAATCAGCCTGTGGTAGATAAATCCCTTGTTACTATAACCTAGCCATGCTAGGGTGTAAATCTTATATATGAATTTCACAACCACAATATTTAACAGTGTCACTTTCATGAGAGTGTGCGCCACACTGAAGAAAGTAAAACACAGCAAATTCCTAAAAATAAATGAATTATATTTACATTACAGAAAGATTGACGGCAGAGTCCTTTTAATCAGGAAGTGCTCTCTGTACAACGAAGAAACAAACTGTTTGATCAAGAACACATAACTGGGGCTGGGAAGGTGGCTCAGTGGTAGAGCGCTTGCCTTGCATGCATGAGGCCCTGGGTTCCATTCCCCAGCACCACATAAGCAAAAAGAAAAAAGCCGGAAATGGCGTTATGGCTCAAGTGGTAGAGCGCTAGCCTTGAGCTGAAGAGCTGAGGAACAGCACTCAGGCCCAGAGTTCAGGCCCCACGACCGGACCCCAAAAAAAGAACACATTACTGCACCACTCAAGAAAACGCAGCTTCCAGGCAGGGCCAGAAATGCTATCACATCTTTGGTCCCCACCAGCCCCTTCCTCCGAGTGCACAGCAGACAGGTGTCCATCTGATACTGGACAAGCATTGTGGATGCCTGCATGGCCGATGGACGGTTCTGAAGGTACTGAAAAGATAGAGCAAGGCGACCACTGCCAAGTGAGTGACTGATGTGGGCCCGGGTCTAGGGCTGGGGTCCTAAGACATTCTCTCAACAGATCCTCAAACACAGCCTGAGACCCTGAGAAGGCACACTGGGGCCGGGACTTGGGAATTCTTACCCAGGTTTTTCTGGGCCTCAGCATTCCTAACGCTGTCCCTCAGCTCTTCAGCTCAAGATGAGCACTCTACCACTTGAGCCACAGCTCCACTTCTGGTTTTCTTGTGGTTTTATTGGAGATAAAGAGTCTCACAGGCTTTCCTGCCCAGGCTGGCTTTGAACCGCGATCCTCAGATTTCAGCCTCCTGAGTAGCTAGGATTACAGATGTGAGCCACTGGTCCCCAGTGGAAATTATTTTTTAAATACATTTTTAAAGGAGATGACAACTTAACCAAACAGCTAATTTTTAAAGTTTAAAAATGGGGTTAAGCCAGGCCCAGAGTTCAAGCCCCACAACCAACAAATCAACAACAGAAAAATGGGGCTGAAGACTAGAGAGAAAATCTATGGGAGACAGAAGTAACATTTCAAAGAGACAAGCCAAGTCACACTGACAAATTGCTGGCCCCGCCCATGTGGTGAACATGGGTGGCTATGAGCCTCCGACTGCGCTGTGAGTGTCCCCCAGGTGTCCACAGGTTCTGGCTCAGTTTGCCCTGGGTCATCTCCATTCCTCCCGACTGAAGCCAACAGTGCTGAGGGCTATGGACATTCTAGCCCACACTTCATTTCAAGTTGGGGTGCTCCAGAGAGTCCCCAGAAATGACGACACCCTGCTTTATGCTCCTCATACCTCATAGATATTCTACTTCCAGCATTTCATTGTCTTATTTTATATATCTTCCTGTCTTTACTGACCTTCAGCCCTATAGAAATTAACCAACAATGGTAGAATGAATGTTATATACTAAACAATGTAAAGAAAGAATGCCATTGATGAGTATGTATTTGGTGTGAAAAGTCTCCCAGATAAACTCAGTGTTAAGCATAGCACGTGTGCATATATATGCTTGGCATCCATACCTCTGCCTGGGAGACAGAAAGGGAGGAGAGGAAGGGGATTTCCCCTTTACATTCATCTTACATAGTACACATTATGTTTGTATATATTGTATATATTATGTGTGTGTATACATACACACACACACAGTTTATTTTTTGTCATTGGTGGGCCTTGAACTCTGGGCCTGAGCACTGTCCCTCAGCTCTTCAGCTCAAAGCTAGTGCCCTACCACTTGAGCCACAGCGCCACTTCCAGTATTCTAAGTGGTTTATTGGAGATAAGAGTCTCACAGAATTTCCTGCCAGGTCTGGCTTTGAACTGCAATCCTCAGATCTCAGCCTCCAGAGTAGCTAAGATTACAGGTGTGAGCCACCAGCGCCCGGCTTGTTTGTATATTTTTTAATGACTCAACTGGAACTTAAAAATTTTTATCAAACAGAAATTTTGTCCAGGAAAAAAAAAACTAAATATCAATGTTAAATTCCAGTCCAGAGAATCAAAAACCACCTCCACTGCTCCCATTACTAAAAGGAAAAAAAGCACAACCACAGACTCTGCATGTTTTCAGAATACAAGTATCATCAGTCTTTTTTTGTTTTGACTTAGCAAATCATTATTTGTGCCCCTCCTAAAAAATGATTAACAATCGTGTGCATGTTACCAATTCCCCTATTTGGGACAAACCAGCTCTTGGGGAGCAGTGTCTCATGCGGGATGGGAACCTGATTGGCTGACCAGACACCTCACCCTGTCTAGGCCTCAGTGTCCTCATCAGAAAAGTGGGAGGTGCTGGCTGCCACAAGCCTGAAGCCAGATCGTACATGTAATCCTAGCTATTCAGGAGGCTGTGGTTCAAAGCCAGCCCAGGCAGGAAAGTGAGTGAGACTCTTATCTCCAAATAACCACCATAAAGCAGGAAGTGGAAGTGTGGCTCAACTGGGAGAGCACTAGTCTTGAATGAAAAAGCTCCAGTACCAGCATGCACTTGCACAGGCACTCACGCACACTAAAACAAAATGAAGTCACAGGTCCTAATGTCTTCTGGGACATAAGATAACTTGTTGTGGTCACAGAACAAATACAGCTCGCTTGAAGGAACACCATTCTAGCTCCAGGCCAGGATATTGTTGCATGGGCTCAGGTTAATATAACAAACAGCTCAAGCAAACCGTGCGAATTACAGACACTAATCAGTAAGTGAAATGGTTAGTGACTAAATCTTGACCACTACTGCTGAGGCCTACAGAGAAGATGAGATGGAAATTCTGTAGGCCATCAGCTCCATCTGCAGCCAGCTAAGGATGAAAGAGAGGTCCTGCCAGCCATGGTGCAGGGAGTATAAACTCCCCTTAGGCACCAAGGTTTCATCAGGTGACCAATGATGGTCTTGTCCTCTGGGGCCTGGGAGGCACCCATGACAGCACCAGCAAGCCCCAGGCCCTGCAGAGCAGATCATGAGAACCAGTGGCAGAGTTTTGTCAGTTGATTAATATATTGGTTAATTATTTTCTTCTTGTCTTTGAACACACACACACACACACACACACACAGAGTAAATATCAGAAACAGAAGTTAGGCAAGTTTTTCTTCTACAATCAATATTTAAGGTCTTCTTTCATTTTTTTATTTTTATTATTTTTGGCAGTTCCTGGGTTTTGAACTCAGGGCTTCATGCTTAAAGTGTTCTACCACAGGAGTCATGACTCTGGGCCGGCCTTTTATGTAAGATTTCTGTGCTGGTCCTGAGCTTGACCTTTCAGGGCCTGGGAGCTGTCCCTGAGCTTTTTTCTCAAGCGCTCTACCACTTGAGTCACAGCTCCAGTTCCAGTTGTTCTGGTGGTTAACTGAGGGTCAGAGTCTCACGGACTTTCCTGTCCGGGCAAAGCTTAATGACTTGTAAGCTTTTACAAACTGTTGGTATCGTGTGGCAGTGGAGACTGAACTCGGCCTAGGACTTTCAGGCAAGCGCTCTGCTCTACCACTTGACCCACGCCCCCAAGCTGGAAGCTTTCACGTTCGGACTAGCATCCTAACATGCCAAACCTGCCCAGAAAGAAGCCAGCTTCTGTAGGGGGTTGGAAACGCTCGCGGCCTCGAGCATGCTGTCATCAGACGTGCACATTTCTGCCTTCACAGCTGCCTCTGCCTTCCGTTCATCCGACCCGTGCAGCTCCGACGGCGGCCCCCCGCAGGCCCGGGCCGCGGCGCGACCCGCAGACGCGCTCCGTGGGGGCGCCCGGCGGGGCCGCACCTGCCCCGCCCACAACCTGCAGACGCTGGCACTGCGGCCAGGACCCCTCCACTCACCCCGGCGTGGTACACTTTATTCGCTCTTTTAATCTTGATGTCCAGTGAGGTCCCCATGCCGGAATCGCCGCGGAGTCCCCCACTTCCGGCCGCGAGAGACCCGAGTGGCTGACGGCCGCCCCGCCTCCCGCCCGGGCCCAGCCCCTTTCCCTCACCGTCGCGCAGCGAGGACACGTGACCTCTCACGTCCGCCCTCTGGACGTCGGGTCCACTCGGCATACGCGCCACGCCCTTCTTCTTCCGGCGTAGGGGTGGGCCTTTGAGGCGCCGACAGATTCGCCTCCCTTCCCCGCCCCCCCATAAGCCCTCCCCCCCCCCGTCCCGCTTCTCGCCGGACGTGGGGGCGGGATGAGACTAGCTCCACCCCTTCCGCAAGGATAGCCGGAAATGCCCCTCTTCTCGTTTACGGAAAAACCCGTGTTTTCCCAGCGTGCCCCGCGGTAGCGGGTGGGGCCGAGACTTTCTCGCGGCGCTGGCTGCGCAGGGAGGTGGGCCTGCGTCGGGCTGTGCGGCGCTGTGGAAGCAGCTTTCGGGAAGCTGTAACTTGGGAACGCGTCCTCCACCTTCACCTCTTCCCTGGGCTTCCATCGGGGCAGCTCGCCCTGCGCCCCGCGGCCCTGTGGGAGAGGTCTGGTCAGCCGCAGGGGCGGGGCACCGCGCGCGCGCGCGCGCGCCTGCTGTGGGCACGCCGATTGGCTGGCTGCGGTCCCGCCCCCGGCGGGCGGCCAAGGTCTCGGGAAGCGCGGGGTGACCTCGCTCCGCGGCGGGTCGCCGCGCTGCGTCACTCGGCCGGGCCCGCGGTCGCGGGGGCTTGTGGGTACCTCCCAGGCGCGTGTCCTGGAAGCCGGTACTGAGTGCTGGGTGCCGCGCCTGCACCGCCCGCTGGGACGGGGGGGCGTGGGGGGTGAAAGGCGAGACTCGGAGCGGGAACCGGCCCGCCGCGCGCGCTCTGTTCCCGGCGGCCCGGGCAGCCTCGCACCCCACTCACCGCCAGTGTCTGTCCGCACGAGCCCCGAGGCAGTCACGTGTCCCTGCGTCGCGGGGCTCCGCTGCCAGGTCTCCTCCTGGCACTCGCTCACCTCAGGTTCTCTGCGGAGCGGGTGCGCGCGCTACGGTCGCGGGTGTGAGGGGGCTCCGGGCCCGCAGGTGCTTGGGGAGGTTAATGAGTGCGGGATTTCCCCGCGTTCAGGTCTGCTTTCAGCTCCGCGGCCCTGAGGGCTTCGCCGGGTCCTGCCGGTCTGCGGGTCTTCCAGCCGCTCAAACGAGGGAATCGTAAAATAATCTGACGTGGGACGTAGGCATCCGTCTATCTGCAATTCAAGAACTGGACAGATTCTCTCGGCTTGCCACCCATCATTTCCAGCTGGTAAAAACATCACTCTCAGGTGTCACCATGCAGAACGGGGGAAAAAAAAGCACGTATCTGCATTCCAGCCTTGCTTTTATTTTTACATAAGGAAATTGGTCTCTCTCCAGGACAGGTGTGCTGAGCTTCACACCTCTGAGGTTTTGCACAATAATTGTGGAAGGTAGTGCTGTGTAAAAACAAAAACTCTCATTCCAACAATTTGCATAGTCTGGAGCCTTCCTCAGGCAATGGCTTCCAAACAAAATAGTCCATTTTTCCTCAATCCTTTCTCTTAAAAAAAAAAAAAAATGTTTCTATCCCTGATCTCACCTTGGTGATGCCTTAAGTTTTAACCGATTTCAGTTATTAAAACCAAACTGCCAAAATGTCAATCCTAAGGCTTAAAGAGAAATCCTAGATCCTTAGTGGAGGTCTGACCGTGTGAGCTGTGGTTCTGGCTCTCACCATCAGAATGCCCACTAGTGGGAAAGTCCGTAGGAAATAATAAAAACACCAAATAGTTCTTTTCTCTCAAAAGACATAAATTTTTTTTGGGGGGGGGTCAGTTGTGGGGCTTGAACTCTGGACCTGGGCCCTGTCCCTCAGCTCTTCATCTCAAGACTAGCGTTCTACCACTTGAGCCACAGCACCACGTCTGTTTTTTCTGCTTATGTGGTACAGAAGAACCAACTCGGCCTAGTGCATGCAAGCCAAGCATTCTACCACTGAGCCACCTTCCCAGCCCAAAAGACATAAATTTTATTGTAAACTTGAAACATGGAAGACTGGTCTGAAGCCAGACACTGGTGGCTCATTCCTGTAAATCCTACCTACTCAAGAGACTAGATCTGAAGATAATAAGCAGCTTGTTGTTGTTGTTTGTTTTTGGCCAGTCCTGGAGCTTGAACGGAAGGCCTGGACACTGTCCCTTAGCTTTTGTGCTCAAAGCTAGTGCTCTACCACTTTAAGCCACAGCTCCATTTTAGGCTTTTTGATAGTTAATTGGAAACAGATATATCTATAGCTTTTTATTAAGCTTTTTATTAAGCTTTTTATTGGAGAAATAGCCCCAGTTATAGGCACCTGCCACTGAAAGGATATAGACTGTTTGCCAGATTCTATTATTAGCTTAGCCAATTCTAGGACAATAGGACAGTTCCACTGAACATGTGTCACGGTGCTGTGGTTCTCTACCTTTAGGACTGAAGGACTTGATCTCCTGAGGTGTTGGGAGTAGTGCTTTCAACAGCTCTCAACTAAGTCACTTCAAAATGTGCCCTTGGCTGAACCCAGCCATCCCCATGCTCCCTACTAGAGTGTACCCCATGTCAGATGACTAGTTGGCTTAGGATATGAAGCTGCTCCTCCTGACCCAGTTCCAGCTAACTCTGAAAGAGCATTCAAAAGTTCCAGCACTCCCTATATTAGTCATCAATTGCTGTGTAACAAATGACCCCAACATTTATTGGTTAAAAATAATGGACATTCATTAGATCATAATAATGAAAAGTGGGTCAGGAACTCTGGACAATAGCGTGGTTCTGGCTCAAAGTCAAGGTAGTTTGTATCAAGATGTTGGACAGGGCCACAATCTCAGAAACAGTTGGCATCACCTCACCTACAAAAAGGGAAAACCAAGGTACGAATTGATTAATGTACTTCCCTAAACTGGTGGGTACCCATTCTGACTCTAGAGGTGACCCTGGCAGTGCCCAACCACTGTGATACACATGCAAGACAGCTATTTGGATGCAGAGGGGCTGGAGAGATCTCAAGTAAGAAATTGGACAATTGGGGCTGGGAAGGTGGCTCAGTGGTAGAGTGCTTGCCTTCCATGCATGAGGCCCTGGGTTCCATTCCTCAGCACCACATAAGCAGAAAAACTTGGAATTGGCGCTGTGGCTCATGGTAGAGCGCTAGCCTTAAGCTGAAGAGCCGAGGGACAGCACCCAGGCCCAGAGTTCAAGCCCTATGGCCAACCAAAAAAATAAAAATAAAAAGCTCTCTCAGGCCCCATTTCAGGCCCAGTACTGGCACACACACCAAAAAAAAAAAATCAAAGGGCTGCCGATCAAAGGTGAAAGTAAGCAAAGACTATTTTAAACTAATGAATAGAGGACAGTTTAACATCCAGATAATGAAGACAGAATGTTACAGTGCAGAACAGCTCAATGAATTAGTTTGCCAGGTCAGCCAGAACAAACTATGTAGCTTAAAACAACAGATCCATTTCTCATGCTTCTGGAGTGCTGGGTTGGTTCCTTCTAAGAACTGAGGGGAAGATCTCTTCTAGGCCTCTCTCATTGGCTGTCTTCTCTGTCTCTTTGCAAGGTCACATGGCATTGTTCCTTGCACTTTTGGTAAATACACTGCTTATATTGCATTTGGATACACACTAATAACATCATTTTGACTTGACTATTTCTATAAAGAGCCTATGCCCAAATAATACACCTTTCTAAAGTACTGAGAGTCAGAGCTTGAATTTGTCATGAGCACAATTCCAAGGAGTATATGTAGCAACAAAATTTATGTAACAAAAATATTAGACACAATAAACAAATGCAGCAGTGGTAGTCACTAGATACTATGTTGAAAATGTGGGTAGAGAAGGGAAGAAGAAACTGGAGAAGGTCAGGACAATGTCCAAATAGAAATGTACTTAGAGCCAGGTGCCAGTGCCTCACACCTGTCATCCCAGCTACTCAGGAGGCTGAGATCTGAGGATCACGGTTCAAAGCCAGCCCGGGCAAGAAAGTCCGTGAGACTTATCTCCAATAAAACCACCAGAAAACCGGAAGTGGTGCTGTAGCACAAGTGGTAGAGCGCTAGCCATGAGCTGAAGAGCTGAGGGACAGCACCCAAGCCCAGAGTTCAAGCCCCACGACCAACAAAAAAAGAAAAAAATATATACTTATTACCCTAAGTATGAAACTGTAACCTCTCTATACATAGCCTTAACAATAACAATAAAACAAAACATTAGACATATAAAGAGAAATGGACAGGAAGAGTTGGTAGGAGATGTTAACACAGTATTAGAGATGAAGTGGTTAAAAAAATGAAGATGCAGTTTACAAAGTAAATGGTATACTTACCAAATAAGATAGAATCGCTGGAGTGAAGTGTAGCTTTCAGAAGTTTTGGCTAGGACAAGGTGACACTCAAAACAGGCATCCATCATGGCTGGAATAAGGTGATAGGGCTTGGACTTCCCTGCTTGTTCACTGTGCTCTATGAGTGCTTAAAGTCTATCACAGGAGATAAGCATATATAATAGGGTAGGATTTTTGAAATATAAGCTAGAGGAGTTTTTTGTTTGTTTGTTTGTTTAGTGCCTGTCCTGGGGCTTGAACTCAGGGCCTGGGCTATGTCCCTGAACTTCTTTTGCTAAAGGCTAGTGCTCTACCCCTTGAGCTATAGCTCCACTTTTGGCTTTTCCTGAGTGGTTTGTTGGAGATGAGTCTCACAGACTCCTGACTGAGCTAGCTTCAAACCTCAGTCCTCAGATCTCAGCCTCCTGAGTAGCTAGGATTATAGGCATGAGCCACCAGTACATAGCAAGCTACAGTTTTTGTGATTGGTTTTTAATTCCTTATAGTTCCTAGTGGGTCCTTCCCAACGCTCCCTTCACTATATGTATACCCCAAGTTATAAGACATGATAAATGTCATTTTCCAATTTAAAAAATCTGAAAAGGCTGGGCGACGGTGTCTCACACCTGTAATCCTAGCTACTCAGGAGACTGAGATCTGAGGATTGCAGTTCAAAGCCAGCCCTGGCAGGAAACTTATCTCCAGTAAACCACCAGAAAACCGGAAGTGGCACTGTAGCTCAAGTGGTAGAGTGCTAGCCTTGAGCTGAAGAGCTGAGGGACAGCGCTCAGGCCCAGAGGTCAAGGCCCATGACTGACAAAAAACAAAACTGAA